CCCCCGCAACACAGGAATATATTCCTAATGCGGGAGTTGTCTTTTTAATTAAAAAAAAAAGAAAAAAAAAGTCTGCAGGTGTTAGAAGGTGATGAACCCACTTTACAATTCAAATTAACCGGTGCAAAACAATTCTTTCGTTACCGTTCACCCAGTAAGTGAGATTATTGGAGAACCAACTCTTCCCCTCCTCCTTTAAATTGAGGGTAGGTTGGCAACGGACATGTAGCTTGTCCTAACTTCTGCTAATTTTCACCTGTAATTTAGAAATGAGAGATTTCTTTTTTTTACTATGATGGGCCTGTGGGTGTAGTACTAAGCCGGAGGTCGTGGGCTTGATTCCCATCCAGAATAAATAATTTTCTAGTAGATGATCATTTGTTCTGTGCCTTGGTAAAATTTCTCTAGAAATAATATATATAAGTAGGTATCAGCAGTCTGGTTACCATAGCACAGGCTCTGTATAGTTTTGGATCAGACGGCCATGTGTGAGATAGTATTATGTTCTTTTTACCAATTGTATTCTGGTTTCCTAATTTAGAAAACTCCCTAAGTTAAGAAGCAAACACTTAATGCGTAATAATAAAGATGTGAGTTGACAGCCCTATTCTTGAACTGATGGTTTACAGCAGTACTTTTATTGTGGAACTGATTTTTTAATAGGTTATCGGCATTTGAAGCACATGTTTTTTTTAACCAAATCAGTTCATTAATTTGGTAACTATGAAAGACTGGAGGAATGGAGTTACTACTGCTTCCTACTGTGCTGAGTGTTGTGGGTGTGATCCCCACATTGGACAACAATTTGACACAAATTGTTTTTGTGAGTCTGGGTGTTCTTTATGTCTGTATCATGTTTGTTTGTAAAGTCCCCCACGACCCAGGAAACATATTCCTAATGCGGGTGTTCTTTAATAAAATGTGTTTGATCGGTACGTGGGTACGTTCGTTTTTCAATATTCCAAGAAGTCTCCTTCAAAGTCATTAACGGCCTATATCCAGCAGTGGACGTCTGATGGCAGGACCGAGGATGATGATGAAGGCATTTAAAATAAAACACTTCGATGAGTAACTTATCCATATAATATATTTTTTTATTTGAAAATTCTTGATACAATGTACATTTTGGACTTAATTCTCTGCGACTTAAAAGTTAAGGTATAAATATTTTACTATTACTGCTTTATAAGTACGCAGAACAGAATAGAATTTGTAGTCTATGTTCTATAGTGACGTCATAATTCCTGAAGTCAGATATTTCGACATTTCTATGGATAATAAATATCTGTTGTAGGTTATTTTTACTAGTTTTATTTTTCACTTTTTGATATTTCATCCCAACTTACACAACTTTTTTTTGTCCCAAGTCATCCGTGACTTGGATTTCGACGACGTTTTTGTCAATGAACCACCCATCTTCTTTTCAATCTGTTTCTACTCTAGAGCTAGTACAAACATGCTTCACCACATGGATTGGCTCAACTTAAGTGATACCTCGACCTCAACGAAAACCGTAAACCCGCCTCCCATCTCTTTCGTACCATTGTCTTCCTTTCTTACTTATGTTTAAATCAATCATCAACAGCCTATACTAGCCCACTGCTGGACATAGGCCTTTCCTCAGAAAGGAGGTTTTGGCCTACTATACCACGCTGGCCAGACGGGTTGGTATAGGGTTTGTTTCAAGTTTTCCTTCTCTTTGCAGTGCTGTTGTCCTGCTTAGTTTGCTCCCTTAGTCGGCTCTTACGACACCCACGGGATGAATTGGGTACTTTAAATATTCAATAGTTTAAATCAATATACTGTCAATATCCTAATGTAATATTTTAAAAGGCCTGATTGACGGCTGTGCTTTTGCTGGCTTTTATGTAAGTGGGACCAAAAATGAAGGCATTTTAAACGCCTTCGTCTACCAAAAGGGTTGACGTTTATTAAAATAAAATATTTCATAAACAGCCTTTACTAGTCCATTGCTGGACATAGGCCTCTCCTTAGAAAGGAGGCTTTGGCCTACTATTCTAGGCTGGTCAGACGGGTTTGTTTCAAGTTTTCCTTCGCTGTAGTTTTGTAGTGCTGTTGTCCTGCGCAGTTTGCTATTATTAAAATATTTACTTCTAATGAATTAATAAACAATAGGTATTTATCCATCGATGTTTTAATATTCATGAACATAGCAGCTTAATATCAAAATTGATAGAATTTTATCATCTTATACGTCACAATAGAATAGAGACCAAAATTAAGCTTTATTAGATAAGTACAGTCAGCAACAAAATAATACTTTTAATATGGCAGTATTTTATTGATATGAAATATGTTACAAAGTGAACTTGTCCTTGTACATTAAAAAACAAAGCGAGTAAAACTTTGAAAATAATATTTTATTGGATATTACGAAGTTACATCAAATTATTTATAGCAAAAATCAAATGTTTTTTTTTTCTATCATATTTAGATTTGAAAAATATGAAAAAACTGCACACTTAACAAATATATTTTCATTAAGTATGTCTTAGAGAATTCGTGAGCGTTCATTTACTACTTTACATGTGACATTTTACAACTTTAAATATTAACATTAAGGTTGCAATTTATAATAACAATTTGGATCTGTTTTACAGAGCTTATCCCTTGCAGTTGAAAGGTATAATTAAAAAAATCGGTACATATAAATATAAGTTATCGTCACAATCTTCAGATAATCCTAAAATAGTACTACTCACAATATTTGTCATTGTGATGTTAAGGTTATCAATAAAGAAAAGGTAATCTTGCAACTTATTAATAACGATTATACCAAAAATAAGATTATTCTAATATTTTTTCCTAATTGGGTAAGTAGTAGAAACTCAAAAATAATTATATTTTTTACACCTGTTGGCATGGCTATATGTAATAATATATACAAGTAGGGTAATTTTTCTATCAATTGACAATAAATTGTTTATCTAAACATATAATATGTTCCATAATAATACTGCACCGTAGTGTTTCAACAAACACATTTGCAATTTTCCCTTAAAGGGTATTTAAGACAATGGATTGTTAGAGAAATTCAAACAGCTTGATCTTATAAGTTCAAATTTAAATTAACCTCCATTCCTTTGTCATCACGCAATGACGTTAACAATCATACAGAAAGTTCAATTCTGCTCATGAAAATATTTCCAGTTCTTTAATTCCAATGATTCGTGTCATCCCAAAGCTGATATTAGTATTTTATTTGAAGATGGGTAAAGCAAATACCAAGTATCAATTATGATTTGTGTACACCCATGCATAATATTTACATTTTTAAATGTATAAGCGAATCGTATTGCTTTATATTCTTTATCAGAAAATGTTTACATATACTATATTAATCTTTCCAATATACATACAATTTTTCTATAAACGAATACTATCTACGACGGTGAAAAAAAAAAAACTTTTTCATAAACTTGGCAATTTTTTTCTATTTTTTTTCGTACTAAATTTCTTTAGAGATTAGACTATGACAGTTGTGCTTCATTATATAATAGGAGCCAAGCGTAGCATAGTGCTCAATAATTATATACTTATATATTTACAAAGTTAACTGTATATAGTACAAAACATTTTTTACTATATATTTTGTTTCCTACTTACATTATATCAATTCGAGGACTATACTTTGAAATAATTTACATTCTTTCTTTAAATATTCAATATTGACCATATTTACGGTCAGATGTGCTTTCACGACTAGATCTATCGTGCTTACAAATAATTTTCTCTCTTTCATACTCACGAACAACTCTATATACTTATCTCTCACGCACCTTTATAGTAGCAATTCATCACATCTATGACGATAAACGAGATTGGATTTTTAAAACGACCCTTTCTTGAAACAAGTTATTGGTATAGGACTTTGTTTGGCCAATTCTGAAAATTAAGCTCTATTGAAAGTTAAAAAGAATGAAGGAATTCAGTTAAAAGAATGGGAGAAAACGCATAGAAGCGTAAACAAATATGCCGGTCACATGGAAAATTTCATTCCGAGGCAAACCAGAAAATGTGTATTTGAAATCTCTAAACTCACCATTGTTAAAAAAGCTTTGCAATTTTACAAGCTCAACGAAAAAACGCGTTAATCCGTGAGAATTTCACTAAAAAAAAATAGGAACATTTAGGTTCCAAAGAAGGGCCGCCAAAAAAGGGGATTTACGAAGAGTCATGGTCAGAATAAGGAGGTAAATCAACTGACATTTTTTATGTATTGGCAGAATTGATAAATCGGCAATATGGCGAAATGTCGTTGCATCTAAAAGAGCAAATTCAGTTTTTCAGTTTTTTTTAGAAAAACATTATTCAACAAATTTGTTAATGTCGAAAGAAAGAAATAACATATTATACACTGTTCAATGAAACTTTTTTACTAAACATTTTGAACCTGTCTTGAGTAATCAATACAGTACTACTGCAGCAACAGTTTTTTATTCTGCACCAGACAGTAATGAATGCTGACAAGCTATAAATGGTAGACGATTTTTCTTTAGTTATTAAGACTAAAACATGTCAAACTGTTCTAATCTCATAAAAAAATTTCATTTAAATTTGAATGGAGAAGATCCTAAATCTTGATTTAAATGAAAAATAAAAATTCAAATACCTTATAATACCTAGTATTATAAGTTTGAAATTTCCTTTATTTTTGGAATAGAAATAAAGTCGAAAATAAATACTCCGAATAAAAATGAGAGGTGCCCCACGTCGGCTCGGGTTCCCTTCGTAATTAAATTTTAATATTTTTACATTAATCAACCAATAATAGTTTGTTTTTCAATTCCTTCTGTATACCAGACCTGACAAGCATTCTTCTATTCACAAAAATAGTAAGATATGTTACCCTTTAAATAAAATTTTCAATTTGAAATTAGAACATATGCATTCATATTCCCAGCATAAAGTCCATCTTCAACTTCCAAATTTAAATTTTTACTACTTAAATTGCAACATTGACTACTATTTGTCTATGCTCAATCAGAGCAAGTCTTGCAGCATTGCTCTTTGTATCGCTTGAGTGCGCACATGTTCATAGCTCGAACGTTTTCACAGAACCGTGAGCTGTCCCGGCAAACTCCATCTGCAGCAAAATGGAAAATATTATATTAAGTTTTTCTTTAAAAATTTTTGTAAAAAAATGTTAAAGTATTGGTCCTTCAGTATTTAAGTGAAGGGCTTAAATCTTAGTTAATAAGCTCTAATATTTATAACATCAATATAAGTATTAGGTATTTTTGCTTTGATCAAGAAAATCAATTTAAGAGTGAAAAATATTGGCGAAACCCATTGCTTCAGGTTAAATTTAGAAACTTTTAGTTAAGAAGTAAAAATATTTCTTCTAATTGAGAAATGTTTAGGATAGAGCCTAGACGAAAGATGCTTACTTACTGAATTTTTACCTTTATTTAAACATGGATGCACCTGACAGGCCCTAGCGACAGGAGGTCTGCCAAGGCCCTCACAGGCCGCTCCAGCACTATGTTCTCGAACTCGTCTTCTAGTACCTGCGATGCGCCACACACAGCGAAGAATGCGGTGCTGACGACCACGGGAAGAGCAGGAACCAATACACTAGTGTACAATGCGAAGTAAAATGTATTAATGATTCATAGTTGTATATTATATCATGTACATTCTCGATGTCTTATCTATTATAAAACCTAATTATTTTGTTCCCTGATCTTAGTTGGTAGTTAAATTCAATTGAATTCTGTCAGTTTTCGTTATTATTATTGTCCAAACGTTAAATAAATAATATGAATTGAATTACTAACCTTACTCCAAGCACCTACAGCCCAAGTTGCTCGGCAAGGTTTGGTCTCACGTCTCGTCTTTTCAGGTCTTGTTGTGCCGTCACATATGGAGTCATCCACAACTGTACCGTTCTCGTTAATACATTCTACTCGACGATGCACTACCGCTAGATAAAAAACAAGATAGAAAATATGTATTATTTCCATAGTTTAATCCTGTTAGAATGGGTAGTCTTGTTATCTGTTCAATAATGCTTGGTAGATGAAATTACAATTATATATTTCTATAGTTTTTAATCCTCTAACTATGAATTACTTACCAGCGCCGCTGTTAGCACATTTAGGCTGCGACCATGCCGCAGTTTTCCATTTCGCACAAGACAAAGTACAGTCTTGTATTTCACTGGGTGGTTCTTTGCCACGGGAGAGGCACTCAGCTGCAGTTGCTAAGCGCGTCTCGTTTCCTGTTTTGCGCTGTAAGTGACGAAGTAATTTAGTCGAATTGTATTTAGGGTACAGACGACGACTTTTAAAATAATATTGTTATAACACAGGCATGTAAGTAACTAATGATTTTAATATACTCGTATCTTAACTTTACGAGTATTGATTTCTTAATAACATAAATTAAATTTATATTTCAAATACATTTAAAATAATTACATTATAGCATGGCTGGCTATGGCTATAATTACCTGACATATAGCTCTCCGTATCTGGTGACCGACTCGTCCACAAGGTGCTTCGCATGGAGACCAGTCAGTTGTCATCCAGAAGAATTCATGTGCATCGAGATATTCATACCTAAATAAATACATACTTAGTGTCTATGTTATGCTAAACAGCTTCAATTATATAAGTTCATAGCATTCTACATTACTTTGCTATACTACTGTTTGAATCTCTTCTTACCTGACTTCAGTTGTGGTTTCTTCAAAGTTCTTTAAACTTTCAACTCGACCATCTTCCATCAAATTATTTCTATTATAGTCATCATTGATTATAATTATATCCGAATCATCGTCTTCTGGAAAAACTATCTGCTTATCTCTCAGATTGATGATATGTGCCTTATTCGGTACTCCATAATTCTGATACATGATGATCGAGTCCACAGTTCTTTGGCCCCTAGAGTTTCCAAGGGTCTGAAAATTCCAAAACATCTGAACATATCAATTATAACTGTTCTAAATTTCTCTGAAGGTATTTTTGTTAAACCTTAGACTGTTAATTTTATGTATGGTTGAGTTTACTTTTGCATGGGATCAAATAATGATGATGACAGTAAACTAAAATGAAGTGGTGACAACAAACCATATTAATTAGTACCTCTGTATAAATTAAACATTAGAATTAATTTTTAACACTAAATTTCATTTTGGTTTTAACCTAAAAGAGTTACAATCAAATTAAGACTTTTAGGAAAATATTAATACAAATACACCAAAATTAATAAAATTAAAACCGACGTAGAAATAGCATAAATATCTTTTGAGTATAGTTTAAAAAAATGTATTTTTTTAGCAGTGATTACGTTGCTTGTTGAAAATAAGAATAATGCATCCCTACAAAATGGCTACAAAAACATCAATATCTTCTGTTGGAAGTTAAAGTATTAATAAATACCAACCAAAGTACTTCCTGTCTGTAGAAATATGCCTCCTCTATTAAGAAATGAAATTTTGTCTGTTCTACAAAGCATTCGACGAAACTACTAAATGTTTTACTGGTAGGATTATAATAACTTTAAACTGGGACTTATAGAAGACAATTCAATCAATACTTAAATTAAGTGTATTAGTCACACCAGTTTTACTTTAGTGTTAAACCCAAAACTCCGACCATGCGTCATGCGATCCAAACGCCCTCTGTTTTGGGAACTTCTCACCTGAAGTTGCATAACAATGTAATGCAGGCAAGGCAGTACCCTGGACGCACTGCTAGGCTTCGGAGGAAGCATCTGTGATGAGACGGCACTCTTCTTCAATGATCCCAAGCGGCGTGCAAATATGTTAGGTTAAGCTTACAGAGTATGGAAAAATCGTCTACTTTCTAAATATAATAAAATAGACCTATTTTTGGTAAATAACAAATATGGTATTCTAAGTGAAAATGATATGGCCGTATTATTTATTAATCTAGTATTCTTTTTTCGTTGACTAATTAATCTCTTTGGTTTTGTCTGGTTAAAAATCAATAAATGTTGGTCCCAAAAATATATATGGTTGATAACGTTATCCTGTAGATTGATGAATAATGTTTTCGATTAAGATTAGACAGTATAGCAGGTAACAAAATGCTTTATTCACAAATCAGTATCCATAAAACATTATTATGCCAAAATTTATGCTCTCGATAAGTAAGCCATGTAACAACAAAATCATCCAGATACACCAACTTTATGAAAGTCGTAAAATCGGCTGTAAATTTTATTACTATCATTACAAGCAGACACATGCCATAGATTATCGGTCTATGATTATAAATGATTGGTTTTGGGGTATAATAAAGTATGGAAGTGATGTTGAACATCGTTGGAATTAGATGATAACCTTGCCTATGGTTCTAGACATTGATTAAAAAAATACGTTCGATACAGTTTACAGATACTGTTGGAATAAAAACTATACCCAAACGTCTAGGAAGATGAAATAAAGATTAAATTGAAATTAATTTCAGACGATTTATCCATACAATATTCCGCAGTGCCTTTGGTTTTAATATTATTTTTTATGTCCTTACCTCGTGTTCATCGTACATGTCTCGCTCTCGGGAATTGAAGCTTGGTGAGGCTTTAGTGCTTGTTGTCGCTGTGTTTCCATATACAGCGTCACGAACTTTGTCTATTTTGCCTGAGCAAACAAATGGTAGTTAGCCTTATATGACAGACTTTCAAGCGGTCTTCGAATTACTTCATCAAGTAAATAAAAACTAAGTAGTTTGTGATTTTTTCTGTTCAATTTGTTTAGTCCGTGTGGTGACGGATTAAGAATACGGAATGTCACCACCCCTATTCATCCCGTGGGTGTCGTAAGAGCCACCTATGGGAGCAAAATACGCAGGAAAACAGCACTGCAAAGAGAAGGAAAACTTGAAACAAACCCTATACCGACCCATCTGGCCAGCGTGGTATGTTAGGCCAAAACCTTCTTTCTAAGGAGAGGCCTATGTCCAGCAGTGGACTATTAAAGGCTGTTGATGTGATGTGACTCAGAACAACAATTTGTTGATCACACAAAGTGCTGTCCCATGTAGGGATCGAAGCCACAACACTCTGGCAGTAGAAAGAGGCGAGGTTACCGCTAAAACGCTGCGCCATACGTATACCATATACGTATATATATATATATATATATATATATATATATATATATATATATATATATATATATATATATATATATATATATAATACACGTTACCAGTGTATTTTTTTGTATTATTTTACAATAATACAAAAACTCAGAAAATACATGATAAGTACCGTCATCATTTTAAGAGTAACATTAAAAAAAATACAGCTGAGATGAGATTTATATAACGTCAAAAACCAGTACCTGTATTATTCTAAAGAACCTACAGCAGTGTGATCTTTGAAATTTTTATCATAATATTTAATGAAACGTCTTTAATTGCCAACCGCTTAAAAGACGTTGGATTTTGAAATGAAAATAAGAAAGAAATTCGAAATTTATCTTGTGTTCGCCAAGAACTTCGTCTCGTGGCAGCCAGCGTCGATCTTAATTAATTTGCAACAAAACTTGTACTCGGCTGCAGCATTGCGGCGTTTTGTCAAATAATACACATTACAGGCGTTTACATTGAAACATTTAAAAGCGATGCTAAATTCTGAATGAGAGACATTATGACTGTGAAGGTTATAAAAGTGGGAATAAGTAAGTGGTTAAGGGAATGCTCAATAAAACAAACTGTAGTATAAGAATAATTTAAGAGTCCTCAGGTATATAGCCTCATTCCACCGTCAGGTCTAAGTCCTCAAGGGCGCCATTGACCTCTTTGCTTTATAACTTTCAACATTAAAGGCAAGCAGTTAAATGACTGGCTTGTTATTCTAAGGGTTAGTGACAATGACTGCTAAGTCAGAGGTCGTGGGTTCGATTCCTACCCAGGACAAATAGTTATGTGATGAGCACGATCATTTGTTCTGTGCCTGCGTGTAATTTATCTATAAAATGTATGTATTTAGTTTTATATATCTGTAGTCTGGTTACCATAGAACAGGCTTTGCCTAGTTTGGGAATCCAAAACACAAAGTAAAAGCATAAATAAGTAAATAATAAAAATCTTATTATTTTTACGTAGTTTTATAGTGACAAGTAACAAAATGAATTATAGTAGAGAGATTATCAATTATTATTATTTTTGGAAGTGTAATTATAATTTATATCTTTTGCCTGATTTATATAAAAAAAGGCTCTCAAGGCTGTAGCTTTTAGGGGTCCACCTAAGCCCAGAAAGATATTACAGATGTTACCTCAATATATACAAAACATATAAACATCTGTCTTCATTCAAATTTCACACTTAAAGTAAAAAATTAAACTAAATTTCCTACTTTGAAACATACCTTTTTGTCTGTTTTTATAGGTCTTCCTGGAGTCCCCCGGACGCTGTTCATGAGACTGATCATCTGCAGTTCCACCTCTCATTGCTATATATCTCCCATCTGCTCTGCTGTAGACAATATAAATTTATTAAACAATTTTGTAACATTACTTTAACCGTGGGAGAGCCATGTATAGCGAATTTCACATACAAAGATACAAAAACATACTACAGCGCCATCTAACGAAGCCATACCGAACTACGGAGTAACTGCTAATCCTGTATCGCGATATGAAAAACTTCCCAACATCAACCATTGGGTCGTGGCCAGCCAGGCGTGATCAGTTCGCCTGTTCGAAGCATCCTCCCTTTGTGTTGTAGGGACGTGACATCCGTTCCTACACACCATACTTCGGCACATATGGGCCGACCCAACCCCAACCCAGAAATGGCAGAGTATAGACAAAATACATACATTGCCTTCCCAATATTTCATTAAAGAAAATCAGAGAGAGACTTCGCTACAAAGATGTAGTAGTAAGTAACAATAAAAATAAACACTAATTGATTTTTTTTTTGTTAAGGAAGACAAAAATAATGCGTGAATTCTCCCAATAGAGCATCACCACAAGTAAACTACATACATTACATGATTCTCCTATTGTTCGTCCACTTCTATATCGTGTAAAAAATATAATATATTGTCAATAAAAAAATATAGCAATTCTGTCTTTCAAAATTATCATTTCAAAAATCTTTATTTTGAAAACGGACCAGAAAACAAACAGACACATGCTTTTTTTATATTTGTAATGTTTGTCGTTTAATCTTAACTCCATTGTCAACTTAACATAAATCTTCGTAAGATATTTTCTGCGAAAACTCAGTAATTATTTGCTTATTCCATTTTTCATATTGTCCAAATGACTCGGTCGCGTCGCAAATAATTTTTATTGAATATTTATTGAACACTCTCCTTAAGCATATTCAGACGTTGCCCTCGTGTAGTTTTTAGTTGGGGTTAGTTTATATTGTGAAAACGGGGTTGTCTTACACAGTGTATAACTTCTCTGCTATTAAAATGTGCTCTTCTTCACTTGCAAGTTCTTGTAAATTATTTACTAAGATTACAGATTGTAACTATAGCTTATAATAACGCCTTTTACATGTTGTAATTTTTGCTGTTCTAATCTCTGGTCACATTTTGAAGTTGATTTGAACGAGAAAATAATTTAATTGGATTGAATTTTAACAATGAATATTTTGGTACAACGAATTGTTTATAAGAAAAGATTTGTGACTTAGCATACAAGTTTATACAAGAATTTGTAATAGATCTACTGCTTTTTTGTTCTTATAATTATTATTATATTACATTGTGAGCGAATGTAGTCAAAAAGTACTTTCTTTTTCTTTTACTTCACTTCTTACTTCTTATTTTCTGCTGCTTCTTTTCACTTAAATTACTTAAATGTGAAGCTTGTAATTGGCAGCTGTTAACTATAAACCGTGTGGTGACGGATTAAGAATACAGACCTCTGTGTCACCACCTCTATTCATCCCTTGTGTGTCGTAAGAGCCGACTAAGGGAGAATACTACGCAGAACAACAGCACTGCAGAGAGAAGGAAAACTTGACACAAACCCTATACCAATCCGTCTGGCCAGCGTAGTATAGTAGGCCAAAACCTCCTTTCTAAGGAGAGGCCTATGTCCAGCAGTGGACTAGTAAAGGCTGTTGATGATGATTATGATGAACTATAAACTAGTTATGACATAGTTTGAAAACTTGCTTTAAAATCTTAAATATTAGCTTTGTTTGAGTTAGCTGATCGATACGTTGTAACATTTTATATAAAAATTTTGATCACATTTGAATTTACAGATGAGGAAGAAGCTTTCGAGATTACTAGGGATTCAGTATTAAAATTAACTGCAAAAATTAAGACTACGACTACTATTACGAAGAGTATGAATAATATTCAAATGTTAAATAATGTTACAAACTTGTGTGTTTGTTCGTATGCTTTCACGCTTGAATCATAAATTTAGGTCAGGAACAGAAGAGCAACCTGATCGCACTGAAAGTGTGACCGTTCCGCAAGGCTGATAGGCAGAGAGAAGCCACTGGCTTTCCCTGAGATGGGGCCTAGTTAGATGTGGCGTCGATTTGGGGGAACCTGAAATCACATGGCCCTAAATCGCAGGGCGCCTAAAGCTGGCCGTCGGAGTGGTTTTTAGTGGAAACATCACATACTCCTGGTTCCTGATTAAAACGGAGTGGAAAATCCCTTTGGATATCCCTTCCAAAGGGATTTTCCACTCCGTCAACAAAAAAAAGGTCAGGAACAGAAAGATAACATGGTACCTATCAGTATTACGAAAAACAAATGCTTTTCTCAAAGGTTTATGACGCGGATCGAGCTCCCGTGAATCGCTAGTATCTTAATATGTGAATATTATCCGTGCCTCCATAACGTGTAATGTAAAAGAGAAAATTCAAGATGGGGAATATTCTACACCTGCGTTTCACAACCTGTTATGAAAGTTTTCCACAAATATTTGTCACCAAGGAATACTAAATATAAATTCAGCGTTCTTACTTGAGTTTGTACGAAACAAAAGTATTGTATCTCCTGGAGTTGCTTGAGGTTTTTCAATTTTACACGAGGTCTGCTGCGTGGTGTTCTTAATATATTTACACTACTTCTAATAAGCGTTCTCCTTCATGCCAGTTGACGGTACTCTATCGCATTTAAGATACAATTCATGATTTGTACACATTTATTTCACGGAAAACTGGTGCTAAATAATTTTCCACCGTGTGGGGTTACCGGAGTGTAAATTCTCCTCGCCCTGATTCTGGCGGGGGATTAAAAGACCGGTGTGACGACTTCCACATTCGGTGAAACAAAGAAACAGACTACAGCGCCATCTATCGAAGAAATACCGAAATACGGAGTAACTGAGCCTGTATCGCGGTATTGACAATTCTCTCGCCTGGTCGTAGGATCTTCCCTTTGTATTAGAGGGACTTGACACCCGATCCTCCACAATCGGCAATGCAGTCTTTGCCTCTAGAGTTGCAAGTGTCCATGGACGGTGGTAGTCACTTACTATCAGCTTGCCCACTATACCATAAAAAAATGTTTTTTTGTTCCCATGAAGTTGTGCTATATACGAATATTATTCTGTTAGATAACGGTGCATGTTTACGTTTTATTTCAAATCAACTCACCTATCAGATAGCGGTGATGATGGTTCATCTAAAGGCTTATGCCTCTCGATTTCTTCACTAGATGGAAACTCCCCAGGTCTTGGTTTAACCAAGAGTGTAAGATTGGCGCTGGATCTGCCAGCTACACAGGTATAAACGCCATGATCACGGAGTGACAGTGCCGTGATCCGAAGAGCACCCTGAGAGAAATAATAATAAATTTTTATTTCAGAAAATCATTTTTTCCAAAGTGTGTTCGTAACATTTAAAACTTATTTTTTAATGTTAGTCATAATGAACCTACAAATATAGAACATGGAGACAATTTTTTATTTTTATTTATCAATCGTGCTTATACATGGAAACGTCTTCAGTATTATATAACAATTTTGAGTTTGTTACATGGATCTTTAAGTAGAATAATCATCACCATAGAATAACTTACCTTCTTCGAAATTTTATACTTTTTTGATTTAGTTATAATCTGATGGTCTTTAGCCCATTGTATTTTCGTTCTGTTGTATCCTTTGACAGGACACTTTATCTTTACTTGAGTCCCGTAGAATATTGTTGCTGAACCCCCTACTTTTACAGTGACCTGCAAAAAATATATATTACAATCTAATCTTTTTTTGGAAATCAAAGGCCTATAGATACTCTTTCCAGCGTTACCTTTTTTTTCTTTGGATCATGTTGTATATAAGATGAGTTGGCTAATGATATCTCTGGTGATGCTGTATCCAGCAGACAGGGTCTTGAGTTACAAGATTTAGTGGCTGCCGGCCGTGGTGAGCTACACAGAGAGGCTGGACGCTCCACAACATGAGATTGGGCCATTATTTGCTTGCATTCGACCTACCAATAAAAATTAGGAAAATAAATATCGAAACGAAAATTGGAATTAGAAAATTAGTAAAACACGTATAGAACCTTGCTAATTATACAAATATTGGTGCCTCTCATCCTCTATTTCCATTGAGTATAATCCCCATGATAACATGCTTAAATAGTAAAATCAGATAAGGCGAAAATTATTTTACAAAAATAACAATTTATTTAATTTCATAGTTAAAAATATATGTTTTGTGAACTGTACTGAAAATATATCTGCTAAGGGCATGACATAATAAATAAAGACACTTATAAAGAACACTCATAAAGAACAACAAGAAAATAACATATCTGTATCAGGAATGACCGCTATACAAGAACACACATTCATGAGCAAGATTCGTGAATCAGTCAACAGAGGTTGATTCATTTCTAAAGTAGTGAGGATATTTTAGAAACAGAGAATATTTTGGAAAGAGAGTAAAGATATAAATTACCTACTATTAAAACAAAAACAAGTGAGTAAATTAAAAAAAAAGCGGGGAATACGTACGTCTCTTTGTTTTAGGCCACCACCACACGTCTTGGAACATTTGGACCATTCGCCAGTATGCCACCGTACAGGACAGTCCAGCACATTGCAGTACTGTCGATCAGGAGGCGATGGCTGAGGACACATGCTGCTTGGGACCACCACTGTATTTGTACCGCCTCGTGTTACCTGAGTAGAAAATGAAAAAAACATGGCTGTCTGTTTTTGAAGTAGATGTTAAAATCAGCTCAGGTCTTGTCCAAGAAATGAACATCTGATTTAAAAAGTTGCATACAGGTAATAAACTAATATTCAAATTTTGCAATTACTATTCAACTAAATTATCCGTGTGGTGACGGATTAATAATACGGAGCGTTACCACCCCTATTCGTCCTGTGGGTGGCGTAAGACCCGAGTAAGGGAGCTAACTACGCAGGACAACTGCAATGCAAGGAGAAGAAAAACTTGAAACAAACCCTTTACCAACCCGTCTGGCCAGCATGGTATGGTAGGCCAAAGCCTCCTTTCTAAGAAGAGGCCTATCTGCAGCAGTGGACTGTTAAAGGCTGTTGATGATTAATGGTGATGATGAAAATGTCCGACCAGTTTTGATTTGAACTTTGACTTGCCAAGAGGTGATAAAGGTAGACGTGAGTAAAACAGTTTATTCTTTACAAAAATGAATACAACTCATTTAAGTTTTTTATTTTATTTTAATATTCCACTAAAGAACATAAAAAACATTAAATTATAATGATGAGTAACTCACTAGACTTCGGTGACCTATTTTCTTACTTTCATAAATTGCATTTAGCTATCATTCAGGATTAAATGGCTATAATTAAAAAGATTTATTGTTTAAGAATGGATTTTTGATTCATTTACAATTTGATATATTTTTGAATTCTAAAATGTTTAAATCCCGGATTTGATTAGCCAGATGGTCTAGTGGTTAATGATCCTGACCTGTCTACTAAGCCTGTCGTGGGTTCGATTCTAACCCAGGATGAATTTTAATAATTGTGTAATAAGCAAGATCATTTGTTCCGTGTCTGGGTGTAATTTATCTATAATATGTATATATAAGTCCACTAGTGGACTGCGATAGGCTGATGATGACAATGATGATGTATTTATATATGTAGAATTCAGAAATATACAAGTATGTTTATTAGCAATCTGGTTACTATAGTACAAGGTCTGTAATGATAGTCTTACCTCGTGTATGCAAGTGACCTCCCGGGTTTGAATGCCAATTCCGCAGGACTTTGTGCACTGCGAGAAATCTGTATAATTCCACCTGAGACAAAAGGTTTACTAAATTAGCTACATGTGACAATTGTTTCTTAACAGGAGCCTGTAAACATCGTAATGGGTAATTCGTTTTAGTACCTGAATAAAAAACAAACAATTTTAAAGAAATGAAGGAAAGAAATTGATAGATAAGCAGTCTTCATCGCACACCAAGAATATAATACAAACATGGGCTACCTTATCGTAGAAAACGATCTCTTACAGGATACATTTGAATAAATACCTCTTAGTAATAAGTATTTTGTGGTGCAGACTGTTTGTGAAATAAATGAAAAAAAAAACCGGTTAGGTACAAGTCGAACTCCTGCGCCGAGGGTTCCGTACCTACCCAGATTTTACGTATGATTTCGCGAAAATTTGTAAGTACCGAAATTTATCTTAATTTGAATTTAAAACATCTTTTATTTTTGGAATTATTCCTTTATTTGTGCAGCAAGACGTTTCTTTTTGCCAAATTTCGTGATTCTAGGTCAACTGGAACTACCATATAGGTTATCGACCCAAAACCTATAGGGTACTTCCGGTTGACCTAGAATTGTCAATTTTGGTTAAAAGCTAGGTCTTACAGCACAAGTAAAGAGAAAATTCTGAAAAAAAAAGGAGTTGAAAATTAAGGTAAATTTTGGTACTTGCAAGTTTTCGCAAGAATCGAAATTTGCCCAAATCATTTTATCGTGTTGACTCAGGACCTTGCTTTTTATACACCTAATAGGGGTAACTTGCTAGGTCTACCCGTTCCTGAGAAAATCAGTGGTGACACACGGACAGACGGACAAGAAAGTCATCTTATATGGTTCCCTTTTTACTTTTTGAGGTACGGAACTCTAAAAATAACGAAAGTATCACATAACATAAATTTTTATAATATATATACACATCCAGTTAGCTACTCAGGGTAATCTCAAGCTAAAAACTATGGTGCTGTCCATAGCCCAAAGCATAGAGATATGAGCATAGTAAAATAAATAAATAGTGGGAACACGGGGTACAGCTGCTTGTAAGTAAAAGCGATACAGGCAACGAGAGAGATGGCTGCCCGATAATTCCCTCTGTCTCTGTTTAGCTAAGCTGCGATTGGCTACACAGCTCTCTTTTGTCGAGGAGGTGATGTTTTTCACAGAGGCGGTGGAGTGGGAAGCACTCTTCGCTTCCCTTTCCACTGTTACGTTAGGCAATCGAAAGGTCCAATAACTGGATTCCCGTACTGATACCTAAAGAAATAAAACATATTTTGGTCGAAATTCCACCTGAAGCTGATCTCTAACAGGAAAAATAAAATATTTCAAATTTCATAAAAAGTATAAGTGCCTTATGAAATTAATACTATCTAATCTGATAGCATACGAATCTTCTTTACGATATTTAAAGGTCTTTAACTTATCATCATTACTTTTTAAACGGACTATGAGGGAACTTGACGCATTTGGATCAATGTAATGTAAACTCTGCGAAAAAAAACATTGAATAACGAGTCTGCATAGCCTTGTATTGAAATTAATAATACACTACAGAGTTCCAGGTAAAATAAACTCCTCGTTACGTACTAGGGTCTGTTCGAACAGTTCTGGTTCGGTATAAAATAATTAATACCCTTGACATTGGTTTGAAAAGAATATTCGTGAGAGACCCATCCTTCAGCATATGTGGGTTGACTTGACCATAATGTTACCACGGCCTCAGAACAAAACCGATGTTAAGTATTTTTTTCGTGAGTGGGGTTACTGAAGCTCAAAGCCCTCCTCCTCTTGACTCTTGACTTCGTACTTGGTTTCCATGTACGGCGATAGTTACGTACCATCAAGTAACCCGATTTCAAGAAGTTCATGCAAAAAAGACGTTAGATATTGAATCAAAATTGAACGCTTACCTTGGTGGACAGGGGTGATCATTGCAAGTCCTCACTCTATTTTCGGGCTTAGTGAGAGGATCACACATGTATGGTGATGCATTTTTTCCATCTTCATCTCGAACGCATTGTATTATCAATTCCTGTGACAAATTAAATAAAAATAATTATAATAGTAAGTAACATAGAGCAACACAGGCCACCGGCGGACCATGTTATTCTATGTATAGTAACATACATTAATTAATTATGGGAAATGGATTAATTAATATTGTTTGGTCGCCTCTTAAATTGGACTAATTATGTATTGTCTTATATGTTTAATATCTATTATTATGTGATTATTGCGAACTTATGCCAATAAAAAATTTTGAACAAAATAGTGAATAGTGGTGGTGACACTATGTATTCTTAATCCGTCACTACATGGACCATTACTATGGCTGTTGAGGCGATTCGGTACGCTTGTACGGACCGAAACGTCCAATAGCGCCTTTAGAATTGGTATTTTCGTCCCGCGGGCTGAAACGCCCAAGGATTTTATTTTAATAGGTGGGTTCGTCCCGATAAAATATTCGTGTACAAAAATTAGAGAAATGCAATTTCATTGCAAATGCAAATAAAACAGCACTTGATAACTAAAATGTACATAAGTACATTTTAGTTATCAAGTGCTGTTTTATTTATTAATTATGTCTACATCAACTCAAATACCTATAATCAGACAGTAAAGAATAAAAATTTAAAAAGGATCACACAAAATAATCACAGACTACACCGAAGATATATATATATTTTAATTTAGTTTTACTACAACTAGGTACTTACTAATAATCAGTCAGATGACTAATATACAATAAAAACATATATTCCATAATTGAAAATAATCAAATCACAGATTGACACATGCAGTTAGGCGTTACGGTCCGCGGCGAGAAATTACAAGAGGGCCGAAATACGAGCGGGCCGAAACGACCTAACACCCTTTAGTATACCCTCCTAAATAAAAAAGAATTTCCAAATATGTTCTTAACTGATGAAATTCTGAGAAAACAAACATAAAAATGCTACCGAGATAAGAAACATCTCTTTTTCTTGAAGTAAATTAAAAAGTAAAATAATGTTAAAATATAAGTTTAAACATTGTCAGATACCTGCACTCCACTAAGACAGGAGGCACTGCAGCTGGTGTAACCTTTTTCCTTCCACGAGTACGATTTGCCCGGTGATCCTGGAGCCACTCTGATATTGCTTGATGTTCCAAATGTTAGTAACCTACTGTAGAGAGAAATAAAGATTAAGGTTTATCACACAATCAAACTCAACATCATACCAGACGTAAACAACAAACTATGCAAGAGACTGTTTATTTACGCGTATGTCGCAGACTTACATATATTTTCTTTAATGGCATTGATATTTTATCGTGTTCAAAACAATTGTTTTAATTTAAAATTTCTAACGCTTAAGTAGACAGTGTGTAGTGTGTGTAGATTGTTTATAACTAGCTATTATGTAGAATTATTTCAATATAAAACTTATACGAGTAACTTCTCATGCTCTTGTTCGTATCACATCACGGGAACGTCACGTGGCATCACACACATCAACAGCCTGTAATAGTCCACTGCTGGACATAGGCCTTTCCTTAAAAAGGAGGTTTTGGCCTACTATACCACGCTGGCCAGACTGTGGGTAGACTGTGGCCAGTGCTGTGGATATATTGTCTTAAGTTAACCATAGTCCTTAGCAAAGAACTAATTCAATGCTGACTTGGCTTTTTGCATTTATCAGACATATTTTTTCATCTTTTATCTGAAAAATATTTACTTAAAATAATAATAATCTTGACTGTTTATGATTAAAGTGTAAATAAGTATTTAAGTAAGTAAAGTGATCAAAATGTTTAATAAATGGAAATATAAACATAACAGCTCAGCAGAGTGCTTTACTTTAACATAAAGAATCCAAAGATATAAGTAAAAGATATTATATTAGAAATTGTTGATAGATTCTAAAATATAATTTATTCCTAATCTTTAGGTATTGATATCGGATATCGGAACTTTATCAGTAGATAGCATATTTATCTCTTGATTACAACTCAGTATACACTTAACAGTAGTGGTAGTCTGTAAAATGTCTTTGGAAGTAAATATAAGTGAACCTGATGATTTTAACTGTCAAGAACTTCACAGTGCGATAGAAGAAGTAGCTCACAATGAAGGTTTTGAAGATTTTGAATATAAAGTGGATTATATTAGTGGTAAAGGTGGAAATTTTACATCAAATGTGTTCCGTGTTATGATAAGAAAGACTGACTGTGATGACTACGACTTCAGTGTTATAGTAAAGACATTTATTAATACCGAGCGGCAGCAGTTATTTAATGAATTACACAAACGAGAAGTGTTTGCTTATACAGAAGTAATTAAGAAGTTTATCTCTGTTCAAAATGTTTTGAATGAAGAAACAAAGTTAGAGTTACCAGAATGTCTGCTAGTTAATATAGAAAAAAACAATGAAGTAATTATTTTAAAAGATTTGAAGAATCATGGCTTTGAACTTGATGATATGCAGGAAAATGCCGAATATTTAAATATTGAACAGATAAACTTAGTTATAAGTGAATTAGCCAAATTCCATGCTTTATCTTTTATAATAAAAGAAAAAGAATCCGACACATTTAAAGATTTAAAGACCAAGTTTCAAGATATTTTATATGAGAATAGTTTCCTTAATAAAAGTAAACTGAGGAACTTTTTTTTTGAATCCTTTGATATGTTTCTGAAACTTGTTAAGAATAAAGAGGCGAAAAATAAATTAAGAAAATTGAAAGATAAGTTTATAGAGTTGTTACAAAAATACGTAAAACCGGGACAGACAAACGTTCTTTGTCATGGAGACTGTTGGGTGAATAATATGTTTTTTAAAAATAAGGTAAGTGATTATATGTATCTTAAGCATATGATAACAAAGTTTAATTTAAAAATTTAACGGTAGAGCCAATAAAATGTACGTCTTTTATAAACCTCGGCAAAATTTATTTCAAACATATAAAATTCAGATTTTTAATATTCCAAGTTTTATGCGCTCTGTAGACATAGAATATGTTAAAATCCTATTCTAGAATATTTAAACAGTATTACATTCTGTTAACTGAGAGTTATATAATAACAATGTTTATGCAAGACCACGAAAAAAGTTAAATAATATCTGAATGATATGTTTTGATACACTATACTTTATAGATACTATACACAGATAAGATAACTAAAATAATCCTAATGGATTTTCTTTATTTTACTTTACAGAACAGTAACCAGGCGAAAGTGTGTTTTATAGATTACCAAGCAATGCGTTACGCCAATCCTATGACTGACTTTATGCACTTTTTATATCTTTGTACCGATTCAAAATTCAGATCTCAACATTTCGATGAAATCAAAAATAATTATTACGAGAGTTTAAGTACATTTTTAAATTTGTATAATATTGACGTAACAACGGTATATAAGAGAGACAATTTTGATACTGATTTTTATGGCTATATGCCATACGGATTATTAGTATCAATATTCCAACTAAGAATTGTCACTATGAATCTTGAAGAAGATGATACTTTAAAAGAAGCAAAATTGGAGTCAAATTGGGATTTGTCACAAATTCCTAGTGAAAGTGATTTGTTTCGCAGCAGGGTTAACGATGTTGTGGAAGAAGCAGTTGGAAATGGAGTTTTGGATAAACTTTTAGCTGAAGTGACGTATTAAAAAATAATAGATTCTGGTTCAATTTATTTTGTATTTGCTTATGCCTCGAGTATTTCTTTTTGTTTAACTGTGATAGTTTTTATAATACATGTTAAATTAAATATTAACATTTTTGTATTCAAAATAATAATTTCTTTGTTAAATTGAAGTTTTATTATTTAAAACACTTACCTGTCACCACCACTATACGATGGCACACTTGAATCTCCGAAGGAAGATCCGTAAGCCATAGAACATGGTTCCATGACACATCGTTCAGTTTCTTCAGCAGGTTTAGGACCCAAGCACTTGCTATCAGGTAACTTAGCAATAGTTCTGCTAAATTCTAAGAAAATCTTGCAGTGAACTTCTTTCTTTCTCCATCCTTCTCCGCATGTAACACTACAGGGAGTCCAATCGTCGTCTTTGATGTAACTGTTTAAAAAAAAACATGTCACATTGCCTGATAATGATGACTTAAGAAAGGTTGTAAGGTAAAATAGAGATTTTAAAAACTTTATAAATTATGACCTCGGAACTACCTCAGACGAACTTTAGGTAATAAAATCATGTTTCAACGAAAGCAATATAAAAGTTTTTTGTGCCCATATTTATTTCTCAAGGATAAAATTTAAGCCGGTCAGTATTTTAAGTTGTTTTAAAGATTTACATGGTCTAAATATTTTACGGAATACACTGCTTTTTTAGCGTTTCAGTAATTTATATATGTAAATTAACTTGTTTAAGTTTTATTGTACTTTTTATAAGATTTTTTTATTATATTTAATAATTTAATAACACTAGGTATTTGCAATGTTTTAGTTTATAATATTTATTATAAGTGACCACAGGTTCAGTTTCACATTTTGGCGACGACGAAAGATTCTTTGTTTGATCAGCTTCGAAATTTGCAACCACACGATCTCTAATTCGACACCTTATCGATTTTACTACAACCGCTTAAATATAGTGAGTTTTTATAAACGCCGCGGCGCCGTCTAAATACATTCCGATTTTATTTTCGGTTTTGGTAGAAACTAAGACGAAGGTCAAAGATTTGATTTTGGTTTCGACTATAAATTCTGTTGCGGTCGGACACTATCTGTCTTTCCATATATATACATAAATATGTGAGGTTGGTTTGTATACGGTTCAAAAACTTCAGCACCGATTTAGCTCCAATTTCAAAACCGCTTTAGAGATTGTTTTTATCTACTTTCCGCGACAGTTTTGTTTCTGATTTCTCATCAATGCAACCATAGCGAAGCGTGGCAGGGGACAGCTAATTGATCAGCTTAATTGATCACTTTTAAATAAGGAATAAATAAAATCTCTATTTTCCTGTATCAAAACAATTGCATAAAAACCTAAATTGCCCATATTTTAAGTAATAAAATCTATACTATCTAATATAGATTCACACGGGTTGATTTTGGATCATCATGCGAGGTGCTAAGGGCAACTATTTATCCTAATTAATATCGGGCTGGTATATGTAGAAGTATGCACCAGTGTAATTAATAATTGTGATTAATTTACCAAATACCTGTAAAACATTGAATTTAAATACTTCTGATAAAACCAATCGTGTGTATCAATTTAGTGTTTAAATGTTTGTGCCAATTGGTAATAGTGTAAGCAAAGAAACTTGGCAAGACAAATTGGTCGTGTAAATATGTGCAAGGAAATACAAATCTTATGTGCGGTGCATAGAGTAGAAAATTAGAAATCACAGTAGAGTAAAGTGAAGATGATCTGTGAAATGGTTGGGGTCAGTGTGGATTGAAATATACCGTGCATACAAATTCCTTCATCAATACTTGAGTGGGTAGTTTGAAAAAGGTTTCTTCTGTGTTGTGTTTTTCTTTTAATATTTATAAAAAGGGATGTTACGGATTTTATTCGGTCTTTATTTCTAATATAAATTGTTTTTAAAATTTAAAATACACTTACGATATTTATGTTGCGTGCTTTTAAGCAGTGCTTAAATTTGTTGTGTTGGTATGTTATGTGACTGTGTTTACATTTGAACGCAAGGATTTTGCATGGAGTTATCTCTAAAATTAAGGTTACAACCCTGCTTTATTTCTAAATAATGACTGCGGATGGCGTAGTGCTTTAAACGGTCGCCACGCCGCTCACTACGCTGAGTTTTGTGGGATCGGATCCCCACATGGGACGACACTTTGTGTGATTCACAAATTGTTGTTCTGAATTTGGATGTTCTTTGTGTCCGTTTCATGTATGCTTGTAAAGCCCCCGCGACACAGGATATATTCCTAATGCGGTAGTTGTCTTTTTAAACAGCAACGATAAATAGAATTTTCATATACTTATTAAAGCGTTAATCTCATCAATTTTTTTTGTTAAAGGTTTTTTTTAAAGGAATATTTGCATATCTGTTGCGTAAGTACCTGTAAAATTTACCCTTAATCGTTAATATGGTTACGGGTATACAACATATATTATTCACTTCAAGGATGTTCTAAGAAACGAAATATTTGGAAAGGCGATTCTGAAAGACTTACCATAAAGTACGTATAAATCCATAAAGTCTATAAATAAAAAAGAGTTAAATTTCTAGAAGTTAAAATTTCTCTATCTAATTAAGAATTTTGTTTGGAATTTACGCTATTATTACACCGAAAATACAATAGCGTTGCAACACTAGAATAATAATATTATAAAAATTGTGTTAAATGTTCCATTTTATTACTGTATTCATTTAAAAAAACAGTGACGTTCCGGGAGTGCCGACAAAAGTAAAAACTTCAAGTTTTTTTTTATTAGAACAGGTTTTTTTTTTGTTTTTTTTAGATTCGAATTTATATCTATGTTGTACGTATATACACAATATATGTTTATATTATATACAGTTATATTATCAATGTATTTAAACCCAAACTCAACTCTCGTCGGGACCAATATATGTAGATTCTTATATACAGAGGTGTCGGTAACTGTAACAGTGTCGCGAGTTCAATGGTTTTCCCCATCTCAAAAAATACATTCTTTTGTTTGTTGTTCAAAAATGCCCAACGCGCCTAAATAAGTTTTTACTTCACAAAAATCAAAGCTTTTCGTACTATTTTTTTTTATGGCACGGGGGGGCTAATGAGAATACGTGTCACCTGATGGTAAGTGACTACCACCGCCTATGAACACCTGCACCTCAAGAGTTACAAGTTCCCTGCCAGAATCGAATTTTGGTGCTCCGGAATTGTTAAACACCGGTTTTCTATGAGGACTTGATATCACTTCGATCAAATCGGCTTATTTGTGATAAAACATGGCATTACCACTTAAACAAGCAGTACTTTACATTAAAATTAGTGAAAAAAAGAACGAAAGAGTAAGTAATATATTATTGCTGTAAAATATTTTATAGTTTTTTGAAAAATTTAAATGGTTGTTATACGTTGCAATAGTGTGATAGTTAGATAGATATATAGCTGAAGCTACCTGCGTGGGTATTTGTCAAAAGATGCTTCACCCATTGCTAAAACTCGAGGTCTAACTTGTCCCTTTGAAGAACTTGAGATCAACCATATTAAGTCTTTAAAATATACAATTCGTTTTCATATTTTTATTCGTATAGGTCTGTTCCGTAACATCCCGAATATTATTGCTATATGTTTTATATATAAATATCCCAGGACGGAGCTGGTTTCAGTGTAAATATATTCCTAATGAAATTGGTAACAAATACTAGGTATCAAAGTAAGGTCAAAAAAGCATCTCTAACATTAGAAAGGATGAGAATACAAGTAGAGAAATAAAATGACCTACAGTAAAATTTTCTTCCATATCTTTGACTTTTTTTACCTCTTAAATATCCAGTTTATCTGGAGACAGACGTTTCTGTTTTAACTTCATTGCCATCAATTATCTGTTTGTACATTCTCACCCTTTAATGCCAACATTAAAAACGCTTTTAAAAAATACAAGCTAAAATTAAAACTACGAGCAAAAATATGTATTATAGGAGAGGGATATGTCATTCCTTGTTAAGATGTGTGAATGTTTTGAAGTAAAACCTTTAAAAACTGTTGTCTTAGGTACAATACCTTACATACAACCAGCCACACGCAAAGAATATTTTGTAATTGCTGAAAGAGACAACAACAAAATACTCTGAGCTTTAGGTATTGACACAGAATCAGAGAATGTATATTGACATGACTAATATTATGATGGTTCATGCTAAATTGATATAGAAATTATGGACAGTTTTGAGAAGGTCTGAGAAACACAAGCTACGTAAACATAAAGAGCGTGGAGGCCGCAGTTAGAATATTGAAGAAAAAAATATAAAATTTAGAAGTTAATTAGTTGATTATGAAATAAATAAATTTTCTTCTTATTAAGGACAAATGTGTAATCTGAAAAAAGTAAGAAACTAAAACACCTTAAATGAAATCATAAAAGTTTACCTCACTGGGTGATCTTTAATTAAAGTTTTGATCCAATTTTACCAATGCATTTGCAATTTTGAGTTATTTTACTTACTAACTTACCTCATTAAAAGTTTATCATGGAATGCTTCATATGTAGGATAAAAAGTTAATAACTTTTGCGTATAAACAGAGGTGGTATTAAAACTTATTATTCATTTAGGTAACCATCAAATATATTCTGATCTTTGATAAGATTTCAAATAATTTACGAAAGTAATCTAACCTCTAATAATGAAACTCGTACCGTATCGTCGGATAAAATGAGAAATTGAAGTGTAAACTAATTTGCCTCCACACCGTATAAATACTACAATACTAAAATACTTACGTGGCCTCTACTGGCACATCAGGTTCACCAATCAGCCGTTCAGCCTTAGCTGGTTGCGGTGGATATTGCTGGATGAGTGGCTGAGTATGGTATACTACGCCTGGTAGTAAATCTTCTATCTCATCCTGTGAGAGAAAAAAAGTATATCACGGCTGTGTTGACGAATTGTAAGATTAATTGTTTTGTTAGAGTTTAACTCTGACTCTGAAAACATTGGCATTGATTTCCTTTGAATCCCCAATGGTAAAATTGTTGGTTTAACAAAGCGAATGCCTCGCGACAGTATCATACCAAACAGCGAAAAAAAAAACTTCTAGGCTACTGGCTAGGGAAGTTAAGTTACCAAAGTGGAATAATAATTCTTCACCCACAACTAGTTACCAAACAACAAAAAAAATTGTCTTCTTGTAACTGGTTATGTAAGTTCTGTTACGAATATGGACGAAGGCTCATTAAATTGGGTATTGGTGTGTTGTACCAAGGTTGTGTAGCAACCATATCATTTTCATTATATAATTTTACAGGCGTTCCTCGCTAAAATGCAAAATTTATTGTCATTTTTTCGATGATAAGTTTGATGACGTTTTGATCATGAGTAATGATCACCTTGAGATTGGTATTTGAAAAATCAAAATTACATTTGATAAAACTCTAAAAGATCTTACTTCAGGTTCATCAGATTCTCGATAAGCTGGGCAACTGATTCCCGTAGAGCACGGTCGGGATATTTCTGGTCTGGACACTGGATCACACCCTCCACCAGCCGGAGTGCACTCCACGCCACGAACTTGTACCCCTTCGCCACAGGATACTGAGCACTGGATGATAAAGAATAAATGGTGGTATAAATATACAAGAACTGTTAACTTTGCTTGAAATATTGATGTGAAAAGAATTTGATACATTTAGTTAGAGATTACAGTAATGAAATGATGGTTAAATATGACCGGTATCTATCTAAATATGCAAACTTGTCCTTGTCCTCAATTCTCTCTCGGTTTCTTCTACCCACCACCACCATAACAGTGGCAATATAATAATATATATTTCATCATCATTATCAACAGCCTTTAATAGTCTACTACTGGACATAGGCCTCTCCTTAGAAAGGAGGTATATATATTTATGTATATTATTATTATATAAAATATATTGTAGTGCCATTCTATTGTGGTCTAATTTACTATAGATAATTAACTAAGAACTAACACAGAATAACAACTGGAAAGTTAGCAGACGCAAGTGTAGAAATCACCCCTTATTTTCATCTTCATTTCTACTAATTGAAGCGAAGTAAAAATAATTATTCCTGTAGATTTATCTTAAGTGTCCGTTTCATGTGTGTAAAGTCCCCCGCGACACAGGATATATTCCTAATGCGGGAGTTATCTTTTAAAAAAAATAGGGAGGTAAAAATCTTTACTTTCCCTTAATTTTATCGAAAGACATTTAAACTATTTCCCCTCCAGTATCTTGAAACCACAAAGTCTAATGATCTTGAGAAAATCCCAGGGAATTCCAAACACGTTCGCAAATACCGCACGTATAAGCTAACAAGTTCCTAACTAGAGTTAGTCGACGTCAGTATCGATATCCACGTGTCCTATTTAATACTTTCAAAATATCATTTTTTTTAATTATTAGTACCCACTAATAATTTCCCAAAAAGCTAATCAAGAACTATATATTTTTATACCTATTCATCATCATGATCATCATATTCATTTTCTGCCCTTTCCCTAAATTTCAATTGACCGGCTTCATATACAGTAACTACTGCGAAGGGTTTGACTTGTTCCTGACCCTGGTTTGCGACTTCACCATCATCAACAGCCTTTAACAGTCCACTGCTGGACATATGCCTCTCCTTAGAAAGCCGGTTTTGGCCTACTATACCACGCTGGCCAGACGGGTAGGTATGGGTTTGTGACCTGTTTGACGATAACCCGCTTATAAATGTAAAAAAAATTAGACGAGACCAAATTAGAAGAAAAAACTGTGTAACATAAAACGGGTAAGGCAAGGAAGGTGGGTGGTTAAGGAAACCAGAACTTTCGGATAAGGAAACAGATTGAGTGAGCAGCAGCTCAAAAAGGTGTAGTCCCTGTACATCTGTCATGTAATTAGAGACTAATTAATCCACCAAGGCAATAATGTCAACTGACCATATCGAAACTAACTAAATTAACCTTGGCCACAATTCTCTCAATAATTTTTTTGCATCACTAATCACACATACAAAAAAAGTATGATTCTTATGTCTATTTCATCAAATAACAATAATTTGAACTCCATAAATGATAACTCTTTCAAGGTAGAAAGATTACAAAAAAGAAAGAAAGATAGATATAATAAGAAAGAGGATAGAAAGATTAAAAAACTCTACTAAGTTCCATGTAGAAGTTTCATTACTGTAAAATCATTAAACATTATTGAACAATACTGAATAGCAAGACAACACACCCTAATTAAACTTGATAACTTTAGACTAAAAGAGAGACAAAGCAAAAGGACAGACCGACGTTACTTTCAATTGGAGAAAAAAACTTTTTGTTTTAATTAATCCTTGATTGTTTTGTTTGATATCAACTTTGACGAGTTCAGACTTGAGCAAAGCGTTTGTGTTACTAGGTTTTACTGAGGATTGAGGCCGTTACTTTTTTATTAAGACTTTTTCTGTTAAATTTACTTGAACACGGTTTTTCTCTAAGACGAGGATTGTTTAGCTTTAATTTTGCAAAAACAGGATTATTTTTCTGGTGTGCAAGTCGGTGTGCCTGGTTTAATATTTGTTATATTTATTTTACAAATTCGAGTATCTCAAGTTTGGAGAGAAAGTACCTCAGTTTAGTTTTTACGAGACTTGCTGAATACCCTGGTTTAGTTTTTGAACGTTTGTATTGTGTATTAATGAACAAAAACAAAATCAACTTGAAACATAGGTAAGGGTAATATAGCCAAATCTTAAACGCCTGGCCCAGTTTCTTCTTACAGGGAGGAAACTTGTCGACATACGAGTATATTTCAACTTGTGCTGGCCTGTTGGTCTCGTGGTTAGTGAAGCTGACTGCTAAGCCGTAGGACGTGGGTCGATTCCCACCCAGGACGAACATTTGTGTGATGAAAACGATCATTGTTTTGTCTGAGTTTGGGTGTAATTTAACTATAGTATGTATCTTTTTAGAAACATTTAAGTATTTTAATAAGCAGTCTGGTTACGATACACACATCTTCTGCCAAGTTTGGGATTGGACTGCTTTTTATTTAATTATTATTATAGCCTATTTGTGTCCCGTTAAGTTTTCAAATTGTCCAAATATCAGTTAAGAATAAGATAAGAAGAAAGATTTCGTCATTTTTAGACTTGTATAATCATCTCTTTTAACAATATTCTTTATATTTTATTGCGACGTGGCAAAATTACTATTTCCTTAGATATTCCCTTGCTAGCAAGTATATTAAATAAGACTGCGTACCACTACTCGCCCATACATCATTATGGATTATCATAACACCACACTTTGTACTTTAGCTGCTTTTAATGTTTAACTTTGAGTGCCCAACTTTACATACAGAACGTTCTCTATTTTTTTTTAAGTCAAGAAAACTTATCGAAGTAGTAAGGATTGCATATCGATGAGATGGGGCAATTCCTTTGAAGACTTTAAAAATAACTTTCCCGATAATTTCATCCTAATCATCATCATCAACAAAATCACCATAATTTTTTATATTAAAAAAACAAGTCTCACATTAGGAATATATTCTGTGTCGGGAGGGACTTTACAAACATACATGAAACGGACATAAACAACACTCGACTCAGAACAACAATTTATGTATCACACACAGTGTCGTCCCATGTGAGGATCGGACCTACAACTCTCAGTGTAGTAGTGAGCGGCGTGGCGAGCGCTTAAACCACCATGCAGTCATTTTTAGACGTAGACATCCAGATTATTTTTAGGAGAGCATTTAAGGTATTCATTTAAAAACTAAGAATTGATATTAGGGTATAGATCCAAAAGAAAAAATAATTAATTAATCTGATACGTAACATATTTGAAACAAAAGTTAAGTAGACCAGAACCAACTACCTGGCAAGAAATCTATCTTATCAGGCAATACATTTAAATATCCTGATAATAGTTTATTTTAGTAACATTTATATGTAGAAAAGAAAACTGACGCTATAAGATACTATTTTCAATATTACATACAAACAATATTGCAACACGTTCACATAAAATTGCATAGCGTCAGTACGATAAGTTGAAAAGTAGCTCACCAAAGTTTCGCACTACATATTGTAAGAATAGAATAGTTTATCGACAACATGAGCTGCTTACTGTATATTTTGTATCGGATTTGTTGGGAGTCTGTAGTTTCATGCAACTAGAATATGGAATTTTTATCTAGTCATGTAAACTTATTAGAATTGTCTATGTTTTAAACTTATAAATGGCTTTTCCAGTCATAGGACGGATATACGTTTAACTGCAGTTTAAGTCTTGTTTTATGTTTTAAGCTTCCTCGACCTATACGTTTTGTTTAAACATTGGTAAAACCATTATATTCCCTGGGAACGGTTAGCTTTAGACAGGCAGCTATAAAAGAGAGAGTGTGACACTGTAGGAGGTATACACAAATACATACATACACGTCTATACTATATAATATTCCTATACTATCTTCCTTCTATCTAAACACTTCTATAACTAATATAATTACATATATCTTATTATTATACACTATATATCATTACAATATAATATGTATTATTTATTTACATATTCTATACTACCAGATACACTTTCACTTTATATAAATAATTTAAGTAAATCAAATAATATTTATTTATATTTCATTCGGTGTAGTGGGACCACACCCTAATCTTCGAGTCCTATTGTTTCCGCCGTCGGTCGGTGCAAGCGCATCGACCGCTGCATAAAATTAGTTATCCGTACTGCCCTCGGTCGCGAAACCTATTTTGTTGCCTATGAAACATATAAATTCTATGTATAAATATAACGTGTAAATCTGTGACATTATATATCAAATTTTCTCTTGACTGTTTCTTGTGCTGTGTTAATTGTTGTGAGTCTTGTTTCTCCTTCTGTGAGTGTAAATAAACTTGTGCTACTACCTTACAATACAACTTTTATTTTTCTCAAACTTTCTGTAAGTAATTTTTATCTATACTAAATATTATTTGATTTACTTAAATTATTTATATAAAGTGAAAGTGTATCTGGTAGTATAGAATATGTAAATAAATAATACATATTATATTGTAATGATATATAGTGTATAATAATAAGATATATGTAATTATATTAGTTATAGAAGTGTTTAGATAGAAAGAAGATAGTATAGGAATATTATATAGTATAGACGTGTATGTATGTATTTGTGTATACCTCCTACAACACCATGCGATAACCATGGATCGGCGCATATCAGCCAGGTCGACCGGAGTCAATAGTCTCACAGGTAAGCAGTATTAGTTATCTTTAAAACATCCATATTTTAGATTTAAACCAAGATTTTGATGTACCGATGTCACTAAAGAATAAGTTTTATAAAACCATACCAATTCTTTTGGGCGAATCATGTCCGCAAAAGTTCTTGGGAAAAACTTCAAATTTGAAACTGGAAGATGGCAATATGGAAGTTGAATAAAAGCTTTCTTTAAAAGTTGTTGTCTGTTAAACTTTGTTGTAGCTTCTACATTACAATGATTGAATGTCCAAGGTTGAAATTTCGTAATGACAGCAGTTCAAACTTTGTAAACCTTGTTCTTTTTTCTATTTTTAAGTTCCATTGTATATTCAATCATGAAGTAGAAGGAAGCCGGTATAAATAGAGGACAAATATTACCAAATTAAAGGAGGTATAAACTTTAAATAAAATGCTCAACTTCCATTTTTTAAGTATTTTTATCTTTGAAAAACCATTGTAATTTTAAACCAACCTAACCAATACCACTGCAAATTTATTGGAAATAAAGTAGAAAAGTATATCTAGAACTGTACGTGATATATTTGTTCCCAAAAAATGTTATCCAATATATCCATAACGGGACTGAAGAGAGTCTTGCCCTGTTTCATTCACTTTTATTTACGTTTAGAGAAACGTAAAACTAATGCTCAGTCGGTTCCATCTGCATTGTTAAAATTTCTGGTCCTTCTTCTTTAATTCTGCCAACGCGCCATGACTACAGATAGAAATAAGAAGTTGGAAGAAGCAAGACTTACCCCTGACCAAGGCCCAGCAACCCAAATTGGACATTCTTCTTGATTACAAGGTTGTGTTGATCTCGGAGATGGAGAGACACACCCTGGCTCAATACTCGATCCTGCAACATAGAACAATAATGACAGTACTTAAAATTTATTTATAAAATAATTCTTCTTAGTTTAAAAAGGCAACTCCCGCATTAGGAATATATCCTGTGTCGCGGGGGACTTTACAATCATACATGAAACGGACACAAAGAACACCCAGACTCAGAACAACAATTTGTGGATCACACAAAGTGTCGTCCCATGTGGGGATCGGACCCACAACACTCAGCGTAGTAGTAAGCAGCGTGGCGACCGCTTAAACCACTACGCCATACGTTAAATAGTTATTTTTTTACTATTCTTGTTAAGCTCTGACTTAACGTCGGTAGAATTTCAACTATTTTTTTCTTTTCTACGTTTTAAAGCTCTCGCATCTAGGACCTTTCCTTATCTCCGGAGTTTTTGTAACAGTATGAACCTGTCTTTTGATTATAGAGTTCTCTGCTGCTTATCCTGATTAAACTGTAGCACTCCTGTAAAAAGGCTATATTTAACTCACCGGGTTCATATGTATCAGTTTTCGTGACGTTAGCTGATCTTGCACAAAGGACTCGACGCGAGCGCACACCGCCACCACATGTCACGCTGCAAGACGACCACTCACCCACATACCATCTATGTAAAGAATAGAATTTTTAACTAAAGTAAGAAGATAAACCGTAGCTCGGAAACTCCGTGATGTCCGATGAAATTTTATTATTATACTAGCTGTACCATGCCATGCTTTATTGCGGCAAATTTTGAATAAAAATAACGTGAAAAATAGGTAAAATCAATCTTTGAAGAGGTTAGTACTCGTATATCGTGGCAAAATTTGAGCCTTGAGTTTTCGAAGCGTATACAAACCAACTTAGCTTCACTTGTATGTTTGTTTGTATGTTTGTAACGAACCTTTGGGCGTGATTTTGACTGACTTTAAACGGTCAGAATTCGTTCAAACTTTGTAGATATATCGAGGACCGATGACAATAAACTAATTTTTTTAAATAAAGCGTGGGGTGCTTTGGTGGTGTAGATTAAGAATACGGAATGTCACTACCCCAATTCATCCCGTGGGTGTCGTAAGAACCGACTAAGGGCGCAAAACAACGCAGGACACTAGCACTGCAAAAAGACGGAAAACTTGACACAAACCTTATACCAACCCGCCTGGCCAGCGTGGTATAGTAGGCCAAAACCTTCTTTCTAAGGAGAGGCCTATGTCCAGCATTGGACTATTAAAGGCTGTTGATGTGATGTGATGTGATGTGGGGTGCTTTTTACTATTGACAACAAGCACCCAACGCTTTTTTTCAAATTTATTTTCTATTTTTTAGTTTGGTTTTCTATAGAAAGCGTGTTTTTTAGTTTTTTAAAACTATATTTTTTTATATATAAGGTCGTAAGCTTTTTAAAGTAGTCGAGATAGTATAACCATTGGTGAGTAAAATAATTACAAATTTAATATAAAATTGCTTACTTGAAAGGACACGGATGAGTATTGCATCTCACTACTGAAGCCTGGGGCTTACTGGATGCATCGCAGAGTTGCTCCGGAGCATCAGATCCTGTGAGACGATCTCGACATACCGCCAGTGACATTTTGTAACCTGCAACAATGTTTATAATTAATCTAAATCCGTATAAAACTGACACTAACACTCTGAATTCTCGGGGTTAGCACACTTTTAGTAGAATAAAATTAATTAAGGAAAAACTCATTATTTTAGCAAAAGGCTAAAAATAAGAATTAAATACAAATGAAGAGAAGATGACTGCCTAAAGTAGAAGGTATTTCCATTCTATAAAAGTGTAACCGAACAAAGAGATTTCCGCAAAGTTAAATTTTGATCTACAATTCTAGGAATATAAAAATTATGACTCCAAAACCTTGTCCTTAACATTTTTTTGTTTTGTTATATTATACGTTATACATCTCTATAGACGTTCTATTGCCCAACTCCAAAATTATTTTACTTTTTACTACTAGCCATAAGTTTTATATTAGTGAGTTATATTATTATTATAATCCGTCTGGTGACGGATTAAGAATACGGAAAATCACCACCCCTATTCATCCCGTGGGTGTCGTAAAAGCCGACTAAGGGAGCAAACTACGCAGGACAACCGCATTACAAAGAGAAGGAAAACTTGAAACAAACCCCATATCAATCCGTCTGGCCAGCGTGGTATAGTAGGCCAAAACCTCCTTTCTAAGGAGAGACCTATGTCCAGCAGTGGACTAATATAGGCTGATGATGATGATGATGATGATATTATTAGTTATATAGTACTTAATTATATTATTTATCGAAAACAGCATCGTAATTAAAATGTTTCAACTCATTTTGGCAGAGGTCAAAATAATTAGAGCAAAAAATTACGCTGAAAATTGGTACATTACTGTAATTAACATGTGACATATGTTTGTTATTTTCAACTGTTAGTACTGTAAATAAAAGGTTATCAGCATAAATGTTTGCTTAGCAAAGTTCAGCTCAAAGGATATTTTATTTACCTCTTTAAACAAAATTGGAGCGTTCAAAGTTATATTTGTTCTAGGGAATGAAAATATATTCAGGAATGAGGCAACAGAATCCTCTAAAATGAAATTTTCGCAAAACAGAGGATTGACAGCTTTTATTTCGTGAATGGTACGAACTTAAAATTTGGACCTTTCTGTATTAAATTTTGAACGGACTTGTGTAAAGTTGACAAATTTATTCCATTTCAAAATAAAGCAAGTGTTTTGCTAAGAAATTTGGAGTATATATGTAAGTTTCTGGAAAACGAATAAGTACGAAGTATAATAAAATTTTCTAGATTTCGTAAGTCTTAGCCGTTATTAATTGAGATATTTTTGGAAATGAGGGTAAGCTACAGATAAAAATATGCGGGGATATTACAATGTCTTAAAAAGTTGTACGTCCTAATTTGTTGTTTAAAAATTCTTCTGTTTTTGTTAAAAGTTAGAAATTGTCTTTATACTTTTTAAGTTGTTTGTAATTGTTATTGACCATGTTGAAGAACTATCGACCCATTTCCCTTTTAACCCACGTCTACAAGCTGTTTTTAGGAGTCATCACGAACCGTCTGCAAGCAAGGCCTTTTCGCTCGATCAAAATCGGGTCTGATCTGGAGTCCCTGCCGCGTTACCAAATAGATTGGCGATACATCGAAGTGATAAGATATCTCTACGAAGCCGAGACCATGTCCGTCCGAGTACAGAATCAGCAAACAAGGCCCATACCACAGCATCGAGGAGTGAGACTAGGGGACGTTATTTCCGTTATTTCCGCGAAATTATTCACGAATGCAATGGAGGACATATTCAAGACGCTACACTGGAAAGGGCGTGGCATTAATATCAATAGCCAATACATCTCTCACTTGCGATTTACAGACGACATGGCAGGGAGCCATGATGACGATGTTGTCTGCAGCTGCAGGACCTACAACAGATGCTGAATGACTTAGCTGACTCTTCTATACGCATTGGCCTACAGATGAACTTCGATAAAACCAAGGTGCTCAATGAATATAAGTATACTACCGGAACCGATTGCCGTACACGGTGCCGCTCTCGAAGTTGTTCTAAAATATGTGTACCTCGGGCAGACATTGGAGTTAGGTAGAAACAACATCGAGGACGAGGTGAATAGAAGAATTCAGTTGGGTTGGGCAGCGTTTGGGAAGCTGCGTCGAGACTTCTCATCGTCGAACCCACTGCGCCTAAAGACGAAAGTCTTCAATGAGTGAGTCTTTTTGAGGGAATGAGGAAATGCTTTTCGCACCATACACTCCGTTGGCGAAACGCAGGGCGTGTGTGGGACTCCCGGAGAACAGGTCTACCCACTAAACCCTGCGGCGGCCTACCTTGGCAGTCGGAATTGGATCGGTGGCTTCTGGAGTCCTACTCCATATCTGAGGCACTTCCAGAGGTGACCGTAGTCACCCTGGGATGAGACGCTACCGCGCCTCTTACTGCTCTACACAGTAAGTGGCGTAACAGCGCCACACCTTGGACGACACCGAGAAAGAATCGAGAATTGTAAGATTTCTTCTTAAAAAGTATAAATATAAAGTATGTCTGAACTGTATGAATACCTATAATGATAATGTTATAGATACGATCCTTGGTTATACCTCTTTGACTCTTTAAAATTTACAGTCTTGTGAGAAATAAATTGTTGCTCGTTTTAAGAATGTAGAGGAACATAAAGAAAAACCAAATACTTGAGATTTCTATATCTTTTTACGGCTAGCGTTAATAATCAAACTAATCGGTTTTTTCCGTGTGGAAATCTCTTTATACGGCACGACAGGGTCAAGACACGGTAATGTCCGAGTCGAACGAACCAAAATATTTCCTCGTAACGCATTATTTTCATGTATAAGTAATGTGTATACATCTTTCTATGTAATTTATGGACAATTACCACTTATTTTATTCATGATAAAGTAATAATGCTCTGACCATGATAGGGCAAACATCTTGATCAAATATTCCTTTAATAAATATTTTCGCCGTTGAACGAATTTACACCTTAATTCGTACACTTTAAAGGTTTTTTTTCATTTCATAGGTCAACGTATACTTTCCGTAGGTCAAAAACGTGTACACACTCTAATCACAATACATGTAGCATGATGTGACCGGTAATTTTAATTATCATATTAATTTGTCATACAACACATAATGATTTCAAAGCTTTCTGCACTATTAGTACAATAAACTTTAAGGATTCAAAATTTCACGTTCTTACGAACACAAAATCTGGTAAAAGACCGAAATTTCATAAAAATCTCATCACGTATGACATAGAAATTTACATAATATATATTAGTAATTCAATAAAAAACTGGTTTAAAGTGAACGGTAGAATCTAAAATCCTATCGGATGATAGCGACGCTTTAATACGTGATAAAGATGAAATTCAATTTCTAGAAAGTATTAAATTGAATTCATACTTCTCTTCTACTCGTAACTAAGCCATAACTCGTTTCATTTTAACTTATAACGCAATTTAGTGGCATTGGGGAAAAACAATAATTCTGAATATATTTATTGATTTAATATAGATTCAAAAATAGTAAATGAATTTAAAAGCAAAGTTATTGCGTCATTTAGACCTTCTGTGACCACTTTAAATGCATCCCTGTCTCTGATTAATTTCGATGGGTCTGTATGTTTTTTTATATATTATTATAGATATTATTTTGTATAATCTTAGATGAAACTGTCCCTTACCATGCCGTGGCAGCTTGTAAGTAAGACAACACTTAGCAAATATTTGTAAACTATGTATTAGTATATGTTTTGTAAGTTGTTCTAAATAAATAAGTGACGACTAAGGTAAGGAATGATAATGTTGTCTTATTTATTTTCCTTACTTTATACAAGTCATGGACTAGGAATGACTTTGCTCTTGGGGCTTTAATACTAAAACGACAAATACAAAATATCAGGACAAGTATGTATATGTGGATCATATAAAATTTATCACTTATGGGAATTGCTCAAACTATACTCAGCGCGGCTTAGTTTCAAGGCAACCGCTTTAAACTTTCCGCTATGAGTGTGGTCAAACCGTTCTTAAGAAGTTTCAATTCGAAAAGCTAATTTTAGTGCATCATCATCATCATCAGCCTTTGAAAATCTACTGATGGACATAGGCTTCTCTTTAGAAGGGAGCTTTTGGCCTAATATACATCGCTGGTCAGCAAGTCGATAAAGGGTTTGTTTCAAGTTTTCCTTATCTTTGGAGTGCTGTTGTCCCTTACGATACCCATGGGATGAATAGGGGTGGTGATACTCCATATTCTGAATATATCACTACACGGATATTTTCTTACTTTTTTTAAGCTACTTATGGTATATTAATGGGAACGTACGATAATTAACGCAATCTTAAACAAAATTCTTTGACTTGAGGTCATAGGTTGCTTTGGCTTTAGTCCAAAGTTATAACACTATCTAGTGACGAACTAAAATATATTTATTAAGCTATTGCATAGCTTCTATCGAGGGCCTTGAGCGCGGGGACCGAATCCAGAAATTCCGTAACGAAAAAAAACCTCACGCTAAAAACAAAACAAAAAACAGTACCAAAATCAAATGCTGAACGTCAAAGGAAATTTCGTCAACATAATGCAGAAAAATCTTACATGGATATGTAATTTGATTTAATAATAATATTTTTTATTTATTCATTTAAAAACGAATTGTAATATATGCCACAATATTTTTATTTAATAAAACAAAAAAAAATGTTTTCTTATCGGTCACCACGCTCAAAAAGTGTAACTTGAATTAATATCAAAGAAAAAGAAATAAATAATTAATTATAATTTCATTGATGTGTTGCGATGCGTTGATACAAAATGCTATGCAATAGCTTTACCGCGGCAGTCCCCGAGTGCCACACGTCTTTTTTTTTTCTTAATATCAAACATTTCAATGAATAGCTCACGTAGATAATTATATTCTTTATGAAGTTAAATTAAATCCTTAAATTAAATAGCTAAGTATAAAATACCAAACACATCTAAATAGCATCAATGGTAATTTCACACCGCCAATGTTGGGCTGTTTCCTTCC